TATGATTAATCCTAACCATATACAGATACTTCTGAATCGCTCATGTCGCATCTACTTACCGCCGTCAACTTCACTCCACCGTAAATACGCGCAGGCCCTTTGTGCCAGTGCACTCTTAGCCTCCGGTAACACTGCACCGGACAACAATATAAGATCTTCGATTTTATTCACTTTAATGTCTTCCTGCTTGTGCTGTGTCACAAGCGTTTGTGCTTTTGAAGATAAAAAACTCTCAGCACCTTCCCTTGCATATAATCCACTGTCTAACGTGACGTTTTGTTTTGTCTTTGTTCTATTAAACGTGTCCTCCCTAGCGCGTTCGTGTGTCATAGATATATCCGGTCGTACTAATGCATTTCGATCTGTCTGATGTAGGGCAGTGTTTGAAGCACATCCTTCGGAATCTGCATTCTTGTTTACCCGAGCATCTCTACCAGTGGGTTGGCACAAGCGACACATCGCAGTCAAAGCTCCAGCAAACGAGAAGTTGCCTTCGCCGAGAAGCAGCACGCTGAGCTGTTGACTTGATTCCTGCTTCACCGCCATGTTGCGCTAACATATGAAGGTAAATATAAAAGGATCTTACATTTTAGTCTCAATACACGTTCCTGTATGTTCTATAAAATGACGGGGAAAATTGCCACAGATTTTTCCATTGATTGTGCATAGCCTCCTAAAGTCAGACTTTTAAATCAGGCAATGATTTAAATTTGATACAATACTGGTAATTTGCATGGCCTTCTGTAGAGAGTAGATACACTCCAGTGGAGAGAAGGTCTGAGCAAAATATTCGATTCCGCTCGAGACCTAATCCAGAGAGGGTTATGAATTTTGGGTACATATATCCACATATGTACCTTAAATTCCATTCGTATCATCAGATCACTTTCAATATGCTACTGTACAATATTTACTGAGCACTTTCAGTCAGAACTAAATCACTCAAAGAAAGCAATTACGCTATAAAGCGCCAGAGCGTTGGCTACGTACTAACCATAAGTAGCTGCGGCGAGATTGCCACCGATGTTTTTCTCATTCCTTGTCGGTTTCAAAACATTGTACATTCATTACAACATTTTAAGACAAGGAACCTTCAGAGTATATTTTAATTCAAATTAATCATTAATCTGCTCACACGCCTACTTTTTTAACTGAACATGTCCAGTCATTGATTAACCAATCACTATTCTAAGTCTTGGCCTAGCACGCTAAGCGAGCGCACTACAACGCGCCAGTCGTGGCTTAGCATGCGCCGGGTTTGCGACTTATCCTACCGCCAGAGTAAGTACAGAAAGTGTTCATCTCCAAATTACAAGGTTTCGCTGTACAGTGATGACTCCGGATAACTCACGCAGCAGCGGTCTATGCAGCGGGGTAACTACCCGAACGGGAAGGATTGTTGGCGCTTCCATACTTCCATATGATAGCGTTAGGAAAATATCAAGTCCCTAACGAACACTATGCTCTAATAAATTGTGTCAATGGTACATTCGCATTCTAAATAGTAGAAGCAACATTCCATAGGCTAAATACTATGGTTGCACGTGCGCCATTCTATGTTGGAATTGCGAACACAGCGAGCCAGCAACATACGCCATAGAGACTGTCTACAATCTCGCGTGTCAGTCGACACAGACGGGAGCAAACCGAATAAATCGAAACGATGTGCCTGGGAAGGCGTCAGTCTTTGTCTGCCTGATGCCAGTGTTCCTCACACCATAGTAGGTGACAAATCCAGATCAGAGTACTTCTCCGGTATCGGCGTACGTCGTACATTCGCATCATCCTCCATCATAATCGCAGCACTATCCGCCCGATTCCTGTGTGTATCCCGACCGTTGTAATAGTCCACACGGGGTTCAGCACTCAGGTATGTATACCCCTCTTCTACCTCGGGCTTGCTCTGTTGCCTCGGACTGACCATGTGCGCAGCCTGATCAGACGCGACCACTTCGACACCCGTGCACCTGTCTGCGCTGATGTTGGTATACTCAGATTCGGGACCATCCCTCACTCCGATGGCCGCATTGTTGACCTGTCTGGCAGAGAGTAGGTCCTCGGTCTTCATGGTCTTCTGGCTGCCACCAGTGCTTCTGCTTAGACTACTGCTTTTTCTCAAATCACTCTGTTGGCGTCTCAGCTCCATATCCACGTATCTTCCCGACTCAATGTCATGCGCGTCGACATACTGACCGGTGAGATGTTCTTCAGCAGCTAGCTTATCATGTTTTTCATCCTGCATGAATATGTGGTTCTTCTTTGCAGCCAACGCCAGTAATTCACCAGAGGGCGATTCCAGATCTCCACGGCCGCTACAATAGAGAGCCGCGAACTCCGTCACAAGAGCTGTAGTTTCAAGGGGTGGCGAAACAGGACGCAGTATGAACAAAAGCAAAATCGCAATCTAAAGGTTGCAGAAAAGTGCATGAAGACCATATATTGTATTTCTAATACCATTCCACCTCCTGGATGCAAATATATCGCACGTGCACGACCGGACAAACTCATGGGAGAACAAACTCTGACAAAAACCTCATCATCGTGTAACTTACTTGAGAACGACGGTCGATCCTCGGGATTTCTCTGCCAACAGGAAGCCAGCAATCGGTATACTTCTCTATTGCACGTTTCGGGCTTTTCCAGGCGCAGACCATCGGCGATACTGGCTGCCAAGTTGTACGATTGTGTGTCACAGTAGGGAACTTTGCCATTGCTGAACACTTCCCAGATCATCACCGCGTACGCCCACACATCGGAGGCTTCGGAGAACTGCCGCTCGGTGATAGATTCTACCGCCATCCAGCGCTATATTTGAGAGATAATAAGAATATCAGCAATCACGCCGAGGTTTCTATCATGAATTCACACACTACACGATATTATTGATGCTGCCTGGACTGAAATAAGAACATTCCCTTGCTAATGGCACGTCGAAACTCTGAACAGCACCGATTTATCTGTCTTACAATCCTAAACGAAAGAGGTGTTAGAAGGCAAACTGATCGATGCCCACGTTACGACAGTTACAATACACAACGCATGTGTCCACAGCTCATCCTTAAGTAACGACTGTCATATATCACATACCACAGGCAGCAGTCCGCCACCCTCCATAATGTATTCCTGATCTTCTCCCTCCGTAACACGCGCCAAACCAAAATCACTGATTTTGCAGAAATGATATCCATCCGGGCCAAGATTACCCAGCAAGCAGTTACGGGCGGCTAAATCTCGATGTACTAGATTCTTCGCAGCGATATACTCGCACCCCATAGCCAACTGCCAGGCGTACCACAGACGCTCAGCATTGGTGATAGCTACTTGGTTCGCTGGATTCGAGATGTAGTGTTTCAAATCACCATTCGGTAGATACTCCATGAGGATACAGATCTCAGTACGTTCTTCTTCGTCTACACCACTAACACCAATCATGTGTACAACATTGGGATGGCGCAGGGTCTTCATTAACTCTGCCTCGGCCAGAAATCTGTGTTGGGAAATGAAGTCGCGAACTATGTCAATATATAGATACAATATTTATGCAACATAGGCAATTGGACGATGTTGAATTAACTGTGCGTGCAGAAAGTCACTTGTACCTGACCATGAGCTTGACAATAGTATAAAGCGAAATTGTTCCACACTGAGTCTGCAATCAATCTAACTACGGAAAGTCTTTCAATAGGCAACCGATAGCGCGATAAATCAACCAATAAGATAAAGAAATTAAGAGAAATTATATGTAAAGATCAACGTATCAGTCACATACTTTTCAGCCAGTGTTTCTCTGTGCTCCTCCTTTAAGTTTTTAATTGCGCAGAGAGCTGCAGTGTTGTCACTGTTGAACAATGCGCCTTTAAATACCTCTCCAAACGCACCATATCCGAGTTTCTCCAAAGCAATAAACCTCTATATTTACAGAAATAACAGTTTATTAGAATACAAATCTTCAGCTCAATTTAACGAACTCAGATTGCTCAGGTCATAATCAAGTGTGTAATTAAGCCTGCCGAAAGGTAACGACAACTGCCAACCAGATCATCGAGAAGAAGAAAAACAACGTGGCCTATATGCGACTATTCGTTTATGAAAAAATTAACTCGAAGTCTGATGTACACCACACTTCGAATGTACAAGTAACCGTATGCTACAACAGTACAATCTGGCGGATCGTGAATACATATACATATATAACACAACGTCGCTTTACACATCCATACACGGAATGCGGCGTACAATATACTCACATGTATCACTGCACCTATAGATTGGTTTTGGTCATACCTTGGCGGGGATCGAATGCATCGCCTCCAGCTCATCGAAATCATTGATGTCGGCGGTAGGAGCAGCCATATTCTTGGGATACTCTCTGGGACGCAACGCTTTCACCTACACACACACAGAGTAGTGCAAGTGAGTAAAAGCATTATATACGACTGAGGCACACAAGTATATAAAACTATAATCCAAGACGAGATGATGAGGGCGTGCGTTACGATGTAACACACCAGGGAAAAATTGACTGTGAAGTGCTCTAAAACTCAGTGTACAGCTCAACTACCTTGCTTCTCTCCTGGGTGAATCGGTAGAAGAAATAGGCGCAGGTCGCGACAACTGCGACAAACAGCAAACAGGCGATGACAATTCCAGCGATGACACCCGCACTTAGACTCTCAGACTCAGACTCGGTTTGAGATCCCAGCGCTAGTATATATTGCGTTCCATCTGCATCAAAGAATTGAACGTTCGATGTCACCATGAAAGTACCAACCGGCATAGATAGAAGCCCTGTGGGGTGACAGATGTGGTTAGTTTATGCCTATATATTAAGGATCGCACAACTTTTGTTATATAGGAAATTAGCAACAAGCAAGGAGAAATAGGTAGGGAAACAAGAATCAGACAAAAGAATGCAAGCACACCCAAACGACACAGCACCTAGTTGACGCATTATAGCAAACAATGCCCAACAACTTACCGTCGAATTGATATTGGGCGAGATTCTCTGTAGTCCTACTTGGAGGAACTATCGTCCTGATCTGAAATGTAAATGAAGGTGCATGGTATCAACAAATAACTTGCGGACTGTACTGTCCAAATATGAAAATAAAACTATAACCAACTTTGTGTGCCCACGTTTTCTCCGAGGCGGCAGATTTATTCATGAAGATTTTAACTCCACACACTGAATGAGGGTACAGATTTATAACTACATTCCTAACAGCAAGAGACGAAAACACAGATATAAAATATGAGGCACACTTCTACAATTTCATTCTGCTTGTGATACATGAGCAGATTCATAACAAATATCAGGACAGCATACCTTCATGTAGTCCGACTGACTATCTACCGACGGTACACAGGCAAAGCCCTCATGAAAATCAGCCACATCGCAGCCATACATGGCAAAGTGAGGAATGTAGAAGCCTCGCCCGTTGTTGACATCCAGTGTAAACAATGACTGCAATGAAACGAAGTTATAGAATGATTTGAGATGAGTTTTCCTAAAAAAAACTTGAAGACTCAATGCTATGTAAGTGAAGGACAATAAACATGTCAAAATAGGTAATTCAATCAATAAAGCACACCATATATAGACAAATGTTGAACTTTCATGATCACAATGATAACGACAGTCTTATGCCCGTTTTTGAACAGGCACTGACGCAGCACAGCAGTAAGCGAAAATACGCTAGGCACACTAAAAGAGAAACATTGATGAATACCTGATTGATAGTCAAGACAACGCCAGTCTTGAAGACCGTTTGTTCCTTCACCTTGACTGGCGGTGCTGAATCAGTGGCCCAGTTTAACCACACGCCTGGGGGACACTGCTGATTGGTCCCCCCGAACGCTATGGGCGGCGTACCTTCTGTGGCATTATAAGCAGGCTGTACCCAACATCTTACTACCCACCAATATCCTGCAAAATATCAGAAACAAGAGTTGAGTTGATGATATATACAGATACCTAAATGAAAGAACCAAGATGAGTGCGAATCATGAAGTTATCAGCCCACCGTGTTGGCATATATTTGTGTATCAGCTGTATCAAACAGACACGAGATTACGATGGAGTACCACATAGAAAGAGACTTTCGATGCTCACAGAGGAGATGAGACGATGATATAACTTGAACAGGATAATTTGAATCTCCATACCAACACTAACGACGCACCGCAGTAGAAGACGCACCGCTTCCTTAGAATAGACGTTAACCTACCATACGCGACGCACAATTAACCAATATCCAACGGAACAGATAGTTTGATTTGCAATTTCATCACTTAAACAAACAGTTAGAGATAACACGTATGCCAGAGTTATTCGCATTGGGAGCATAGATGGACAATGCCGGGAAGAACAGGGAATTTCGGGACGCCTATGAATTCCAAAGCATCAGAACATGCGACGTCGCCATGCTACAGCCGCAGTGACTAAATCACACAAAATGTCTTAATATAGATACTTTTGATATATAGCTGATTGTCTCTAAACCATCAGGCCTATAGTATATGGCCTATGTACCGGCAAACGTTCGCTACTAGGTCATATACTACAATTTGTGAAGTAAAGACCTTTTCATAATTATGAATCATAGTAGAATTTATGATTAAAACACGTACAAACGATTCTTAGCCGGATATAAACTTGACCCTACTACATACGTATTTTCAACGAATCTGGACCTTTGAAAATAGCGCTACTAGCATAAAGCCTAACACTCTGGGAGCAGGACAGTGTAACTGTTTTAACCTAATCCGTTGCTAGATATACAGTTGGTACAATTAAGGCGATCCAACTCTAGATTTTAGTAAATACGGATTGCAATTTTCAGATGTGTAGCATATTAGCATATCGAGAGTATTTTTCACTAGTCTCGAACAGACAGTGCACAGGATGCTAACAACCAGCAATAAACATTAAATTCTATTTAGTACCTGGAGCGTAGAACCATGTGGTTGGGACGTTTCCGTTTTCATCCAACGGGAGAGGGTAGTCAGGATTTAAGTAAGCGGATGCATTGAAGTCTGGCGACTGTGTATCACCCAGGTCGATGGTATCAGTAGTGTCTGATTGAGCCGTCACACACGGCGTCAAACACGTCGCCGTGAGTGTGAGAGTGTATATGCAAACTGCCACTAAGTTGCGCATGGTGCCGTGTTTAAATGATTTGCACCATACAGTGATATTCGAAGAACGGATGGATACCTCTACAATCTCATATATATATATACTACAGTAAATCTCTTGTCTTGAATACTAGCATCGGCAAGTAGTTATATTATATATATATATATATATATATATATATAATATAATATATATATATATATATATATATA